ATTGATAAATTAATTTAAAAAATTTATGATAAAATACGGAATCCTCCGGAAATAATTTTATTAAATTAATATATAATTTCGGAATTTCTAGAATAATAATTATTAGAAGGATTCCGGAAACCGGTAAGATTTCTGGAATTTCCGGAAGTTTTTCCGGAAAAAGATTTAATTTCCGGAATTAATTTACATTTATTTTTCCGTATTATACTCCATATATTATTTTGAAATTCCGGAAAGATTATTTCTATTTCCGGAAAGATACTAAGACACAATACATACAATATGTACAAAATACTTAAGCCTGGTAACCCTTCTTATGTAAAAATTATTAAACAATTTTTATTATTTTTCCAAAAATTTTTCTTTAAGCAAAAAATCTTTTTCAAAAACTCATAAATTACGTCATAATAATTTTTAAAAATTAAATTTCCCAAATTCCTCAACAAAAAATAAAAATATTCAAAACATCCTTTATTCTTTTTAATGTCAAAAATTTTCTCTCTTCTTTAAGGTAATCCACTCAAAATTCAATTTACGCTCTTCAAAAAATATTTTTTACCAAAAAAAAGTTAAAAATGTACTCTTCTGAAAGCTTTAAGGGATTTATTTTAATGTCACTCAATTTATTTTCATAAAAATATTTTCTTTATTTTCAGTTATTTTTTAAAATTATTTTGTTGAAGAAATGCCCTTTTAGGGTTGAAAAAATTTTTGCTTCACAAAAGTAACCCCTACTTATTTTTAATGTACATAATATCTTTTTTCAAATTTTTCCGGAAAGAAAATACTTGCGTTTTCAAATAAATTAATTTCCGGAAAAACACACATGAAATACATAAATATACTTTTCCGGAAGAAGTTAAATAGATAAAACGTATTCAGGAAAATACAAAAATTCCGGAAGGAAAATACAAGCTTCTGGAAAGAAATAAAATAATTTAGGGAACGTTATGTGTTTCAGAAAAAGACAATTATAAGTTTCCGGAATTTAAAGTTATGCATAAATAAAGCATTCCGTAAAATACAAAAATTCGGAAGGAAAAATTTTATTTTACCACAAGCATACTACTTTTATGTAATTATTTTGTGATTCCAGAATTTTTAGTAAAATTTATTCTATTTTGGGAAATTTAAAATTTTTGTAATTTAATTTTTCTAAATTAAAAATTTTCATTCTATTCTTTTTTCATTTTTAGATTTTTTCCAGCCTTCCTTTTCCAACAGAAACCTCAATAAATGTTTAAACACCCAATAATTTCAACTACGTAAATGTACATATTTGAGTAGATTAATGTCTGAAAAATTTTTTTAAATAAATTCTAGCCAGTTTCCGTTAAATTCATAAGTCACAATTAAAAAAAGATAAAAAATTAATTTCAGCAAAATTCTTTTATTTCCGGATATTAAAATAGCAAAAAATATATTTAAAATTACATAATGATGAGAAGACTTAAAATATAAATTTAATAAAATAGCCAGAATATTTTAAGTATTTCCTGTTATTAATATTTTAATTTCCAGAAACTTCTAGTTAATAACCGGAAATAAATGTATTATACTTTTATTATATAAGTTTCCGGAAATTAATTAATTTTTCCGAAAATTAATAAAGTTTCCGGTAATTTTATATATTTCCGGAAAGGTTTGTAATAGAAGTCATTAAATATTAGAGTTGTTGTTTCCGGAAATTTATTTTTAATATATGTATGTTGCTTACGGAAAATTTGATTTTATTTAATATTTCCGGAAATAAGTTTCCGGTTATCAAAATATTAAATAGCCCAAAACGGCGCGCGTTCATAACGGCGCAAAGCCATAACTTGAGGTAAATTGCCTAGCCCTTGTCAATTTGGTACCAATTTCCTTAACTCGATGAAAGGAATCGTTTGATACTAAATTTGGTAAGATCAGGAAATTTTGAAGCAAGTTACAATTTTGCGCCGTTATGGCCGCGCGCCGTTTTGGGCGTGTCACTGATTATTATATAGTTGTTTCCGGAAAATTTGATTTTATTTATTTCCGGTAATATGTTTCTGGTTATCAAAATATTGATAGGAGTAACTCATGAAAAAATTTTTGACATTTGAATAATTTTAATTATTGGACATTTTCTTTAAAATTTACCCCCAAATTCTAAAATTTTAAAATTAAAATTCCCAGGATTCTCTTTTCAATATTTTTTTTCGTTTCATTATTACGTCATTTCCATTACCAAAAAAATTTCTTTTTTATTCCCGCAGAGATTTAACGGTTAAATGACTACCAAAAAGCAACTTTTCCATATTTGCTTTTTATAAATTAAATTGAATATAAAATCAAAAATTCTTTAAAAACCCCTTCTATTTATTTTCCATTAAATTTTTGCGAGAAATATTTTTGGGAATGTATATCAAAATATCCACTTTATTTTGTAAAAATATCAGAAGGCCTTAACGCAAAAATTCACATTCTCTTTCTCACGAGTGAAGAAATTATGGACGAATATCCGTGGATCCATCCGTATCCGTCTGATTAAAAAAATAAGTATAGACATCCGTCCGTGAGATCCGGATATTATCCTTAGCCATGAACATCAGTCTGTTAGAAATATGCCATATATGTCAAAATAAGTCAAATAAGTTTATTTATTGCCCTGTAACTTTTGAATCACATCCATTCAAAGGCATCCGCGATTACTTCCGTTTTTTCTTAAAAATGCCACGTCAATACTAAAATTTATTTTTTTTTGTTTTTTTTACTATTTTTGTTTATCTTGTAAATTCCAGGAAATATATTTACTAATCTTTATTCTTTCCCTAGAATTTTACCAAAAATTAATTTTTTAAATTCTCCCATTCATTAAAAAATAACAAAAATATTTATTTATTTTTTAGAATTTTTAAATAAATTAATTTTCGATTCATAATTATCCCTTCTTTATTCTCTAAGCAACAAATAAATAATTAAAAAGAATTTTTTCTCAATTTCTATTTATGGATTTAAATAAAATTAGAAAAGAAGAAAATTTAGATAAATAAGCAACATTTAGAAAAAAATTTTTTTGGAATTTATTTGAAAAAAAGAAATTTAACTAATGGGGTCGTCAGCTGCGGCAGCATGGCTTCCATTTGCAAAGTAAAAAAATTTTTTTTTTGAAAAAAATTTTTTAAATTTTCCAGAAAAAATTTTAGATCTTTTTTTATTTTTATACACGTTCTCGGATATAGTCTAGTATAGGACCTGAACTAAAATGTCAATGCTATACTAAGTTGAACGGTACCCGCTTTAGGTACTGAAATGCCTGTGGACCGAGATACAGGTCCACTAATAATGAAAAACGATATAGGGGAGTAAGCTCAATTTTTTGGTAAGAAATTCGATTTTTTATGATAGCTCTTTCTAATGAGCTCGATGAGCTGAAACGAATAACACCTAAATCGTAGTGATAGAACAAGCTCAGATTTATTTAGTATTTTGTAAAAATTAAAAATTTTAATATATTGTTAAGATCATTTGTTAAAAAAATAATTTTTTTAAGAGCGTCTGCCGTTGGATGGTCTCCAATCTCTCGGACATCCCTGCCCAAACCTCCAGCTGCCCTAAAGGCTAGTTTAACATTTTGATAATACCGCCAAGCTGACCTCACTATAAGATACCCCCAAATACTCCCAAAAACTCGGCTCTTGTCCAGTTTATGCGTCCCATGAAAGTATATGCGTCCCATCAACAAAAAATTGGATATTTCTTGGTGTTGCAAAGTAGTTGCATTTCTTCATGTTCGGGATCTACGTCCACTGGGTCTGGGACCGTTCCTTACCCTATACATCGAAATTTCTGAAAGTTAAAATCGTTTTTCTGAAATTTTTAAAAATTGGCTATAACTTTAAGAAATTTCGAAGGATAAGGTAAGGAACGGTCCCAGACCCAGTGGGCGTAGATCCCGAACATGAAGAAATGCTTTGGAACCATACCCCTACTTTGCAACACCAAGAAATATCCAATTTTTTGTTGATGGGACGCATATACTTTCATGGGACGCATAAACTGGACAAGAGCCAAAAACTCTATATTAAATACACCTCAATTTAAGATAAGGTTTGTTAAAGTTGGGCTAGGAGAGCTTCCCAGACGATACCTTCAATTTAAGACACCTCTCTTATTATAGTAGGTTCTGTCGCTGAAGAAAACAAATGGAGTGTGCGGCGCGACAGGTGTGAACCGCAGTTGTCGGGATTGAATTAGACTGTCCCGGGAAGCCCTAAATTCTTCTTCAGAAAGTGGTCCAACTCTCTAGGGGCGAGTGGACGGAACCAAAGCTCTTTATTGACGAGCTATTGAAGTTGCCTAAGGGCGGCAAAGGAATACCAAACAAAAAAAGAAAAGAATAATCAAATTGAAATATTTATTCAGAGGGACCTTAAACTTGGGTAATTAAACCATAATATAAATGTGTGAAAAATAGGATAAAAAGCTTATAGACCAAAAAAAAGAGTAAATGAGTAAAAAGGCCTATAAGTTGGTAAGAAAGTTCTTTAGGCCTCAATTTTAGGTAATTTAGTAATGAGATTATGAGAGGCCTAAAGATGCAGAAATTTAGATTAAATTGAAGAAACCTAATTAAAAATATTTAGGAATTAGGTGAAAAATAATAGACCTAGGTTTGGCCAGAAAGTAAATTAAATGTGAAGATTAAAATAAATTAAAGGCCAAAACCTAAGTAAAAAATATAAATAAACGCAGGTGGGGGGAAAATGTAATTAGAATAAGGAGAAATTACACAGAGAAGAAATAGAGCTAAAATTAGCTGAAACTTTAAAAATAAATAAAATGATTAAGCTAATGGAGAAGCGATCAGAAATGGTGCTAGCACAAAAGGGTGTGGCTAACATTAAAGTTATCGGGCAAAAGACAAACGATTAAAAAATAGACGGTGCAAAAGATCACCAAATAATTAATCAAAAATATTTAAATTTATTAATTTCATCGCAGACGTCGCTTCGGCGACACTGGGGCGCCGGCCACTAGCGGCGAGCATGCCGTTCGTCTGAATGCCCATTACTGCGGTATGGCATATTGACTCTCCATCGCCTATTTCTGTCTCTGTGGATTCTCATTGAATTAAAATCTGGCCGTAAATATTCTTCCCCTTCATTTTGGTTGCGAAGAGAGAATCGCATAGCGCGGATTGGAGTTTGGAATAGAACGGTGAAGATTGCGAAGATGAATTGAAATGCCGCAAAGACCATTTTAATGTGTGTTATGGTCCAAGAAAGAAAAAGTAGAATAAAAAGCAATCCCGATCCTAGTAGAATTCCAGAATTGACAGGAGCGCATGCAGGGTTGGCTATACGGTCCCAACATATAGTACAGTCTATTAAGCTGCATTCATCCTGAGCTGGGCAGGTTTTCTCTTTTTGGTACATCTTATTTTGGGAATCCGTTAGGGTAATTTGGCAGTGGTAATCTACGACTAGAAGCTCGTGCGGCAGTTCATAGTCGATTTTAGGAGCATGCGGCTTTATTAAGCAGTTGCCGGCGCAGCATAATTCTAAATTGGCGAATTCGCTGGGGCTGATTACAGTAACTCCGGTCTTAGTGCATGAAATTTGACATTTTGGGCATGTATTATTTATAGGCGATCCCTGGATGGATGTAAAACAGAAAAGGAATAATGCCACGTTTAGTAGGGTAGACACGATTGCCCTCGATTTGCTTCGCGTTAACATTCGATGTCCAGCGTTGGGTTTTGGTTCCCGTGCGGAAGTTCCTTGAACTATCTGGGGAGCTGGTTCGGTAACTTTGGCTTCCTGTTCGGTTTGAGTGATTTCTAGAGGACACACGCTATTGACTGGACGCGTGACAGTGTTGCCATTTTGCATTTGGACTTCCACACTCCTGGTTGTTCCAGGTTTCCCACCTAATTTTACGATACGTCCCATAGGCCATAGATTCCTCGGGGTATATTTTTCTTCTACAATTACTATTTCTCCAATCCTAGGGGCGGAATGGTTTTCTAGTCGTTTTCCTTTGTGGGCGGTTTGAGTCCTGGAACGTAGTATAAGAAGGTACTCTTTACTCCATCTTTCCCAAAAGAATTCATGAGCCCTATCGGTGGCTATGTAAATTTCGGCTAATTTTTCATGTGAGTCGGGACGGAAAGGGATGTCCTCTAAAAGTCGGTCAGTCGGTAGGTTGAGCTCGATCTTTGGAATGAGAAGATCGGCGGGTCTTAAAGGAAGAAATCCATCCTTCTCGTCCGAAACAGTAGAGATGGGACGAAGATTGAGTGTTGCCTCCACCTTGGCTGTGAAGGTAATGAGGTCGTCGAAGTGCAGGATTTCCTTGCCGAGTGTACGTTGGAAGAGTTGCTTGGTGATCCCGATGAGGCGCTCATACATTCCTCCAGCCCATGGACTATAAGCAGGAATGAAGGTCCAATCGATGCCTTTCTTCGCCAGTTCGTTGGACGGCTCATTGATGAGAAAGTCGATTGTTTTGTCCGCCAAAATAAAGGAAGGAGCATTGTCACTGATGACACGTTTTGGTTTTCCACGACGAGAAATAAAACGTTGAAAGGCATTCATAAAAGCCTCAGCAGATTGGCTCAGAGTAATTTCCAGATGAATTGCACGTGTTGTTAAACAACAAAATAATAATAAATAAAATTTAGTAATAATTCCATTAATTCGGACAGAAGATGGTCCGGCGTAGTCAAGTCCTACAGACTCAAAAATCATTTTCCTGAAAACTCGATCATTAGGATAAGGTGGAAAATGAGGTAAAGCATATTTATAGGCGCGCATTCTCTCGCATTTCAGACATGTTCGGATTATTGTTTTGACTGTTTTTCGGGCATTGGGCGTCCAATATTTAACAAGAAATTCGGTTAGAGTAATGTCTATCCCTCCGTGAGTTAATTCTTGGTGAATGTCAGAAATAATGAGAAATTTTAGATGAGAAGAGCGAGGCAATATAATAGGGCGAGCTAATGTTGGGCGCTCGATTTGTTGCACAATTCGCGTTTTGAGAAGAAGTAAACCATTTTGGTCGGTTTCCAGCGGGTAGCGCTCAATCTCGTGTATGTTTTGCTGTTGCGCAATCTTTATCAGAAGGGAGCCGGCGGTTAAATAGTCGTTTGCGGAGAATGCGGAGTTTTTCCTACTAGCTGCTTGAGAAATAGAGAGAAGCTCAGGGCGGCGATTCTTTATGAGCAAAGAAGGTTCGCGGCCATTTTTAATGAATATCGATTGTAAAAAACGAAGAGCCCAAATAGTAGTTCGCCTAATTTTATCCCATGAATTAAATCTCTTAAAGTCGATCAACTCATTCTTCTTAGGTATTTCTGGGTGTTCCCTGATATTGGCAAGGGTGTTGGTTATCGCAGACTCGTCGGTAGAGTCAATTGTATTGAGTTTAAAAACTATTGAAGTGGGCCACTCATTTTGCGATTTTGAGAGCCAGGTGGGGCCGTGCCACCAGAGATGGTTGGATTGGAGTTCTGAGGGAGATTTTCCCCGTGTAACTAGGTCCGCCGGGTTTTCTGTTGTATTAACATAGCGGAACTCGCCGTTAGGTAAAGTCCTAATTTCCTTGGTTCGGTTTGCTATAAAGACCGGTTGGTGGTCAGTTTCCTTAAGCCAGCTAAGGGCAATGGTTGAATCACTCCAAATGAAGATTTTTTCTATTTCCCGGTGTAGCTCATTTTGGATGAATTTGGATGCTCTAACTCCCGATAAAATTCCTAATAGTTCCAATCGCGGTATGGTGAGTTTAGAGTTTGCTTTTAGTGGACGCAAACGATTTTTGGAGAAGACTAATGAAGTGGTAATTCTCCCATCCTCCTTGCTTTCACTTCGCAAATAAACAGCTGTGCCGAAAGCAAGGTCTGATGCGTCGGTAAATGTATGGATTTGGACGGTTGGTGAATTTCCGTGAAGGACAAGGCGAGGGATTGAAATTTCGGTGATCCAATCCGACGTTATTTTTTCCCAAGTTTTAGATTCGTCGGAGGGTAAAACAGTATCCCACTCAAAATTTTCTAAAGTCCATAAATGTTGGAAGAATGCCTTGGCGGGGAGAAGGCAAGGGCCGACTAGTCCCATTGGGTCGAAACAAGAAGAAATTGTGCCGAGTACGGTGCGGCGTGTAATTGGTTTTGAGAGTGGCGGGAATTTAATCTGAAGCGTGTCTCGCTGTAGGTCCCAATTAATTCCAAGGACGCGCGGGATTTCCTGTTCTAGTCTGTCCTCAGGTGTTATTTGGTCCAAAACAGCCCTTTCGTGGGTACAGAATTCCCGCAGGTTCATTTTGGCAGTTGCGAAAATTTGTTTAGCCGCTTTACATTTATTAAGCGCTTCCTCTATTGTGTCGCATTCTAAGAGAACATTATCGACATAAATGTTCTCCTTAATTGCGTTGGCAAAGTCGGTCCGATCCTTTGAAAGGTGCTGCCTAATGACGGCCGCTAGGATGTACGGAGAACTAATAATCCCAAATGCAATCCTTTTGAATCGATACACGGCTAGGTTGGACGGCGAAAGAGGTTGGTCCATGTTTTTTAACCATAAGAATTTACAGAATTCCCTATCAGATTCGATCAATGAAATTTGATGAAAGGCCTTCTCGATGTCGGCCAAGACTGGAATTTTAGTAGCCCGGAAGCGTAAAAGCAAATTAATTAAATTCGGGAGTAAAACTGGTCCTCGAAATAGTGATTGGTTAAGTGAGGGAAGTCCTTTTGGATGAGCGCTTGCATCGTATACTAGGCGGATTTTCCCTTTATTAAAGACTGCATGGTGTGGAAGGAAGTGTTCCTGCATGTCTGGGTTGCATTGTGTGACTTCAATTACTCCGCGGTTAAGTTGGTCCTCTATCGCTTTCTGGTATTCCTGGGCTATTTTGGGCGCCCCCTCCATTCGCTTGAGTACGGATGACAGACGTTTGTACGCCATATCAAAGTTGGAGGGTAATTCCGATGGGGGTCCCGAAGTTCCTTCTGGCGATTTCCAGGGAAGTCCAACCGTGTATCTCCCGTCTGAATCCTGTATTATGGACTGTTCGACTAATCTGGTGGCGATATCGTCGTCCTTATTTTCTGGATTGTCAGTAATGCCCATGGACTCTAGGTTCCAAAATTGCTCTATTTCATTACTGGCAGGCATTTCTTCCGGTGAGCTGTGCACGGCAGCAAGAGAAATGCAGGTTAAAGAGGTAGGTGAAATATAGTGGGGTAATTCACCGCAGAGCATTGAACCGAAGTGTGTTCTTATAACGTGTAGATTTCTGCCTATTTTCTTGGATCCTAGGAAGAATCTCCAAAACTCTCGAACTCCTAGTAGAATTTCCGGTTCCCTATTATTGACGGGAATGTTTTTGAGGTCTCGGTGGTTCGTTGGGATCCGAGTTCCATCCCATTGTATACATGGAAATGCTGGGACGATTTGCGGAATTGAGCAGAATACAGCTTCATCCCATCTCCCGTTGGGCTTATGGAGCCTAATCTTATATCCGGTGGAGCGAAATTTGACTGTCTCGGCGCCAAAAACGCGTACGGAGTGGTTGGAGCTAGAAACCTTAGGTGGTCTTAAACGGTCGACCAGAGATTGAGAGATGTAGGAAGTCTGCGATCCGGTGTCCCAGAGGCCGACAGTAGTATAAATTGGACGGTTATTTCCAGAGCTTATAGCTAATTCGCAAGTCATCAGAAAAGTATGCGGTTTCGACTCGGTAGCAGTCATAGCCATTTCCGGGTTTGCGGGAACATTCGGGTTTGTTCCGGGTAGATTTTCAGAATTTATTCGCGAATTGCTATAAATTTGTGCTGGCCGGTGAGCAGGGTAATTAGCAGGAGAAAAGTTTGAATTGCTTTGAAAGGAATTTGTTTGTCCATTAGTAGAATGATTAAATGTTCTATCAATTTCTCTTCCCCTTTGACGGGTGCAGACGATAAAATGGTGCTTGCCGCCACAATTCCTACATCTTTTGGGCGACTCGCACTGGCTTATTTGGTGTCCCTCGCGTAGGCAATTTAAACACCTGCGTTGAGCTATTAAGCGATTTTTGCGGCTATCGGGTGTTTGGAATTTGCGGCAAACAGAAGGAAGGTGACCGCCATTACAAAGTGAACATTGGCCAGAATTCCTTTCAATAGCTGCAAAGGCGCGGGTAAAGTTGGCTGGTTTGGAATGTGTCGGCCGGTGACTCTTTTGTTGGGGAGTCGGCTGGCGCTCATCCATTCTAATAGACTGCCCTTTTAGTCTTTTGGTACTCCTTTCCACCTCTTCTTTTATGGCCACTTGTTCAAGGAGAAAATTTCTAAGTTCTTTATGTGTCCATTCGCCTGCGGCCGTACTTCGCTCCCTTTCTATGATTTTTTCAATAAGGGTGGATGGAAGTTTTGCCTTAATGGTTGTGACTAAAAGAGACGCGTCTTCCTTTGTTCTAAAATTGGATTCCAATTGCCTGCAAATTCTTTCTATATTGTCACAAAAGGCGCGAAGTGAGTCGGCGGTGTCTTTTGTAGCTGGTAACTGAAGGAGCTCTGATTGAAGGGTTTCCCTTAGGTTGCGGGTGCTACCATATCTTCCCTTTAGACATTCCACTATAATTGGGTAATTCTCTGCTATTCTCGGGAATCCTTGGACGGTTGCCTCGGCTGATCCCTTGAGCGAATTACACAAATGATGGATTTTTAGCGCGTCCGGAATATTCGGGTTATTGTGGATGGCCAACTCAAAGCATTGCCAAAAACTTGTCCATTTTTCAGGGTCCCCAAAAAACTTCGGAATTTCCATGGGTGCGATTTTGAACGAGTCGTAAGCCGGATTGCGCGGTAAATCCTGTGCGAGTGGCCGCTGGGAATTCTGTGATTGTCCGGAATGGAGAGAAGCACTACGGGACCTTGCCCTTGACTGTAGATTTCCCGATGTGCTATCCCGCTCGACTATGTCGTCGATAGTGAAGACCATTGCCTGGGCATCGGCAACCCATTCGGTGAAATGACGATAAAGGGGGTCATTATCCGCTGGGCGTTGGAAGTTATCATAAATCCTTTCTTCCCTTACTAGGTTTTCCGGGTCGATTTTTCCCATAAATTCTAACCACTCCCGATTTAAACCTTCAATTCTTACGGTATTGCAGCTCAACTGTTTGCGGAGTGTGCGGAGACGTTGTAGCTGGTTCTCTTCTAGTAGATCCTGTGGCGACGTGATGATATTTTGTGCTTCATTGATGTAATTCTTGAGGAGCTTGATAATTGGGCCGATCATTTGACGGATTGGTCCTGATGACATTTTGGTAGAAATAGAGTTGATTTGTAGGAATGAAGTGACGATTGATAGAAGAGTAGTGTTGAATGTAGAATTGTTATGGAAGTGATGAGGTGGCTGAGGAGTTTGAAGAGTCGATTGAAGTGTTGTGTGAAGATGTAGATTTGGGTGGTTGAGAAGTGTTGTGTAGATTTGCCTGTAGGGAGATTAAACAGAAGAAAAAATTATTTAAATTTAATTGAGAAAATGAATGAAGAGAAGAAGGGGGTCCCGGGTCGTGGCACCATAAAGTTTGTCGCTGAAGAAACGAAAACGGGGTTGCGGCGCGACAGGTGTGAAACCGCAAATTGTTGTCGGGATTGAATTAGATTGTCCCGGGTAGGTCCCCTCAATTCTTCAAAGATGATCCGCTCTCGAGGGCGAGTGGATGGAACCAAAGCTCTATTGGCGAGCTAGAAATAATGCCTAAGGACGGCAATTGGAGGAATACCAAACAATAGAATAAGAACAAATAAATTAAATATATTTATTCAAAAAGGACCTCAAACTTAAACTTGGGTAATTAAACCATAATATAAATGTGTGAAAAATAGGATAAAAAGCTTATAGACCAAAAAAAAGAGTAAATGAGTAAAAAGGCCTATAAGTTGGTAAGAAAGTTCTTTAGGCCTCAATTTTAGGTAATTTAGTAATGAGATTATGAGAGGCCTAAAGATGCAGAAATTTAGATTAAATTGAAGAAACCTAATTAAAAATATTTAGGAATTAGGTGAAAAATAATAGACCTAGGTTTGGCCAGAAAGTAAATTAAATGTGAAGATTAAAATAAATTAAAGGCCAAAACCTAAGTAAAAAATATAAATAAACGCAGGTGGGGGGAAAATGTAATTAGAATAAGGAGAAATTACACAGAGAAGAAATAGAGCTAAAATTAGCTGAAACTTTAAAAATAAATAAAATGATTAAGCTAATGGAGAAGCGATCAGAAATGGTGCTAGCACAAAAGGGTGTGGCTAACATTAAAGTTATCGGGCAAAAGACAAACGATTAAAAAATAGACGGTGCAAAAGATCACCAAATAATTAATCAAAAATATTTAAATTTATTAATTTCATCGCAGACGTCGCTTCGGCGACAGGTTCTCATAATAAATACATTTTCTCCGGACTCAAGAGATTCAAAAAGAATAAGACTATACTGTGTTTGATCAAAAAATAATTCTTAAAAATTAAAAAAAAATTTTTTCAGGCAAGGGAGCTAGCCATAGACCACGTTGGCGATGTAAGGTTAATAATCAACGTCTCCGGTGTGGGTATTTAATTAAATTTAAATTAAATTGTTTTATTTTTTGTAAAACGCGAATTTATTTTTAAATAATTTTAGCGTCGTTATGACACGTGGAAGAACACTTTAGAACGCTTTCCAGAAACCCTGTTGGGTAGCAATGAAAGAGAATTTTTTTACGACGAGGATGCTAAAGAATATTTTTTTGATAGGGATCCAGACCTTTTTAGGTTCAAATTTTTTTGAAAATTTTAAAATTTTCAGAAATTTTTTTTCAAAAATCCTTAAATTTTCAATTCTAGACACATCCTCGCATTTTACCGTACTGGGAGACTACACTACCCCCAAACTGAATGTCTGGTCTCCTATGAAGAGGAATTGGCATTTTTTGGAATTATACCAGATTTAATTAGTGATTGTGAGTTTAATAATTTTTTGCCTAAAACCGATACAAGCTTAGATATTCAAAAAATATTTAAGAGGACTTAGAAATCCTCGCTCCAAAAATTATTTTTTGAATATTTAAATTATGTTAATTATGCGCATTATAAAAGTGTTTCCTTAAAAGAAAACATATTTCATTTATATAATATTGTGTACATATGTATAAGATAAATTTATAAACTTTCATTCCAATCCTCCGATTTGTACTTTATGCTTTTGAGTTTTCTATGAAGAGGAAGCTTTGAGAGCAATGCTTGTAAATCGCGATTTTGTGTGCACTTCGTACCAGGGATTCTACACCACGATCAGGGGTGGATGCATTGCGTTATATTTTGGCTTTGCGTTTTATGCTATGTATTGGCTCTTACGCATTCTCATGTTTCCCATTCCCGACATCGGAAATTTATTATTTTTTATCGACAGGATTTATTTTTCATTATATCCTTAATTTTGACCTCGTACTTATTAACATTAGATACTCGTTATGTGACAAATGCTTTTCGGTATTCGGCATGCCGAAAAAATACCGCAGCGAAAATTTCGGTATCTCTTCCTGGACCGTTACTGTATCAATATATAGGAAAACGAGAATTTAATTATTAATATTCCACAATCACTGGGGTACATTATACCTTGTCTAAATTTATCTCGATAACAAATAATTTACAGACCTATCTAAAATTTTCATGAGGATTTAAATAAAAATCCTCGTTCCAAAAATTAACAAATATCCCTTTTAACCGCCGCAGTAACATACTCTAGAAATCTGTATTATTAAATAACAATAAATTTAATTATTAATATTAAGTAAATAAAATTTATTTTATAGGTTGTTACGAGGATTATAAAGACAAAAAACGGGAAAATCAGGAAAGACTAATGGAGGAGAGAATAGATGCTCCAGAAAAGAAGAAAGACATGACCTTTAGGGTAATTCCAGTGAAAAAATAATTTGAAATAATTTTAAAATTTAATTAAAGCAAAAAATGTGGACCGCTTTTGAGGTGATTTTTTAAATTTAAAAATTTTTTTTGAGCTTCAATTAATTTAAATTAATTTTTAAAGAATCCTCACACCTCCACAACAGCTCTTATTTTTTATTATGTAAGTCTTTTTTGTGAAGAAATTTTTTTTTCGAGCCGAAGTGAATTAGCAACAAAAGAATTTTAAAAATAAAGGGAAGGGGCATTTAAGTACGCCTAAAAAATTTTGGGTAATAGGAAACTTGAATTTGTGTGAAAAAACTTGAATTGATATCCGTGAATTTTCTAAATTGTTCCAAAGATCTAACGTTAGATTTTATGAGGATTGCTAGCTAATCCTCTCTCCAAAAATTATCAAATAAAATTAATAAAAAAACTATGACAACTGAGGTTAATTTATTTAAAATAAAATTAGATTCGTTTATTTAATATTATGTAAAAATCGAAAAAATTTTTTTTAAACACTTAGCTCCGTTCACTAAATTTTCTATACATACATAAATCTCATCTTAAAATTCCCCTGTCCTTTTCGGATATAACCCTTAAAAATTATTTTTTTTTCAAGGTGACAGGCTTCTTCATTGCCGTCTCTGTCCTCTGCAATATAATAGAAACCATCCCCTGTAAATACCTCGCTCACAGTTTTGGCTCAATCTCTTGTGGTGATCTCTATGAAAAACAAGTAGAAATTTCAAAAAAATTTTTTCTGTAAAAAATCTCTTTCAATTTTTTCAGTTTTTTGTTCTTGACACGGCCTGTGTTGTTATTTTTACTATAGAATATTTATTTCGATTATATGCGGCGCCGGATAGGTGCAAGTTTGTTAGGTCTATAATGTCTCTAATTGATGTTATTGCTATTTTACCTTATTATATTGGGTTGGGATTACAGGTAGAATTTTTATAAAATTCTGATTTATGTTGATTCTGATTTTATTTTAATTCTGATTCTATTGTTTTCAACTTCTGTTCTGATTTTTTTATTCCTATTCTTAAAATTCTGATTTTATTAAATTCTGATTAAAAAAATTCTGATCTTATTAACTTATAATTTAAAAGATTCTGATTTCTGTTAATTCTGATTTCAATATTCTGATTTTAAAAAATTCTGATTTTTGGTAATTCTTATATTAAAAATTCTGTTTTCCAGAATTCTGATTTTTTAAATTCTGAATTCTCGAAATTCTGATTTTTTTAAAATTCTGACTTTATTAAAATTCTGATTTTTAATAAAATTATAGGAGAACAAAGACGTCAGCGGAGCTTTTGTTACGTTGAGGGTATTTCGCGTATTTCGAGTCTTTAAATTTTCAAGGCAAGTTTTTCAACTATAAAAATTTTTTTTTAATTATTTTATGAATTTTGACACATTTTTAATTAATTAAAAAAAATATTTTTCCCTTCCAGACATTCCCAAGGTCTTCGAATCCTCGGATATACCCTCAAATCTTGTGCCTCAGAATTGGGTTTCTTAGTGTTTTCGTTAGCTATGGCAATTATTATTTTTTCTACAATTATTTACTACACAGAAAAACGGGTGCCTGACACTAAATTTACTTCAATTCCTGCCGCTTTTTGGTATACTATTGTTACTGTAAGTGAATTTAACTTTTCAGTCATTTGTTTTCGTTTATTTTTCCTTTCTGTCTACTTAATATATAAAAGTTGAATTATATTTTTATATATAAATTAAGTTAAATTTTCTATAAGTAAAGTGTGGAAAAAGATTTAGAGATAATTTTTGGGTAGAGGGTAGGTAAAAATCCTCGTTAATGTGTTAGAATTTTGTGTGGTAAACTTTTGTTTGACAGTTTTAGATTCCAAATCTGGTCAAAATTTCGGTTCCGGTGAAACCCTAGTTTTTGGCTACTCTACATTTTTTTTATATTAAATCTTCGTTTTCGATTACAAAATCAAATAAGAATAGATTTTTTAAATTTAAGCTTACAACACTTGGATATGGCGATTTTGTACCTTATACTGTAAGCCTCAAATAAAATTTATTCAAAAATATTTTTTTAAAATTAAAAAGGTGATGGGAAAAGTTGTGGGAGGTATTTGTTCGTTAAGTGGAGTTTTGGTTATTGCTTTACCTGTTCCTGTTATTGTCTCAAACTTTTCTAGAATTTATCATCAAAATCAGAGGGCGGACAAGAGGAAGGCTCAAAAGGTGAATTTTTGATTGGGGGATTTAAATTTTTCTAAAAGAATAAAAACACTCCCAATTGAGGGATTTACCTCAAAAATTCTCGAAATTTTGAATTTTTCAATTTTACATTTACATAATATTAAATAGATTAATTATAATTTTATTTACATCAATCTGTAAGCTACGATATAACTATTTTTATAGGGAACTATATTGTAAGTTTTGGGACGAGGATATCCTAGGTGTCCTCATAAAATTCGTAGAACGATTTGGATTATTGATGATTCGGATCGTCAAGAATCACTAATATCATTCCAAATCCCTCAGTATTACCTTATATCACAAAATCGATACGGCATTAGTTGATATATAGCAAAGCTGTGCGCCATGGCGTTTTGGCGTTGCCTATCGTCTCTTTCGCTCATCCCTGATCCGGATATTCACCCTTGTTTCCGACAGCTTAACTAATATATATAGTTTGCTGTAATTTCATTCCCGTTATTTATTAAAAATTCTTATTAAGAAAGCCAGAATGGCGCGAATTCGAATTGTTAAAAACGCTAGTGGCCAAGTACTATCAAACCGTCGGAAAGGATATGAACAAAGAATGCATGATTTTGAGCTTGGTTTGTTGGGACCTGAACAATTAAAAGACGAGGATATATTCCAATTACAACATCACCATTTGCTTATGTGTTTGCACAGAGCTACGGTATGTTAAGCCGGTTAACCGATAAACCAGAACGAGAATCTGCCGGTTGTTGTTGACAATAAGTATAATATTGAGATTTAGCTCCTACAACTAGAGAGTCTCTTTCTCTTATAAAACCCTCTCAGTACTATCCATACTTACAAGGAGACCCAACTTAAATCAAAAATAATTTCCTCATAACAAATTTATAATTCAAGGAATGGGATAAAGACGAATCAGAAGAACGGGAAAAAAGAACAAGCATTGGACAAAAAAGAGAAGGAGAATGTAATTATGACCAAAAAAGCGACAACATCCTCCCAGACCAAATTAATGACAACAACAATTCCCCACCCTTTCAACAACCCCCATTTAAATTAACACCCGTGAGGAACTGGTTAACTCGAATGAGACAACACAGCGCTTCTTTTTGTGGGCAAAGAGGGAGTAGCAGGAAAACGCTTTGGAGGTACAAAGCTAGAAGAATGTCTAGTAGTGGGAAGGATACACAGAGACTTGATGAGGAAGAAGCGATTGGAGGGGATGGTATGTTGACTGATAACTTTTAATTTAAAATAGGAGAGATATGGATAGCACCGAATATTGCAAGTTTAGATTCCATCATATTTGTTAAGTCTAAAGGAGGAACCAAATGGGAACCAATGATCTGCTTTTAAGCAGTTCAATGTTTATGAAAAATTGTTTTGTTCTACTTAATAGCAAATAATTGAAATTAATTATATTTAATTTAACCCTGAATTCTAGTGAAACATTGTCAGTAACAATTGACGAGGAATTTATTTTTGGATGGAGGGTGAATCAAATCCTCCTAATATTTGTTTATCAGATAGCCGAACATTTGCCTTTTTGGGTAACATAACGTTATTGTTAAACACTTTGTCTGGTTCTGAACCCGAACCTCAAATTCTCAAACAAAAAATTTTCTTAGCTGCTTTACGGCTTTTAATAATTGTTTTCTTTTTTCAGTTCTAAACACCAACAAACATTCACATTACCAACAACTTTCACAGCTAAATGCAATCCCCTTGAGGGTAACACCAGCTAACGAGCCTAGCACCTCCACAACAGTAATAGATGAAGAGTTAGATCATCAATATACTCGAGAACAACAGTTGGAGGACTGTGAAGATGCTGAATTGATTAAAGAAAGTAGCCTGAACGAAGACAAAAATGAAGGAAAGGAAGAGAAGGGGCAGATATTTAGACATCCCCCTATTCGCATTGTTGTTTCGGAGGAAGGTTTTGATCCAGGGGAGGTTGGAAGAGATGGAGGAGGGCTTAGAGGGGAAGGAGAGGAAGAAGGGGAAGATTTAGGAAGGGAAGAACAACAACAAGAAAGGGAGGAAAACAAAAATAGAAGGGAGGAAGAGGAACAAGTTGAAGAATCAAAAGAATCAGAACCACAACAAATAAACGAAAATAATAAAATAATATCATTGGAGGAACTACAAAGAGTAAAATTAGAAAATACAAATAGGTGCCAATAAATCTCAAAAAAAATTTATTTTCTCTCCTAAATTTTTGAACATAATCAACACTTTTATTTTGTCGCTTAATAGCGTGGTTTGCTCATTTTTATAGATGGATGTCAGAATTTTATAAATCAAAATTCTGATTTTTCTTTAATTCACCTACATAAATATCAATTCTGATTTTTAAAATTTTTTCAGAATTTTTAATTGCTTTAGCTAAAAATCAGAATTCTGAATAATAATCTTAAATAAATTTTCTGACTAAAAACCAAATTCTGATATACCGTATTTACTCGATTAATTCCCCCGGGGAATTATTTTTTCAACCCATCCGTAGCATGGGGAATTAATCGAGGGAGGGGAATTATTCTAGGGAGGGGAATTAATCGAGTAAATACGGTAAATAGAATTACAAATTCTGATTTGTATTTTGTAAAACCTTTGTAACGGATTGTTCAAAATTCTGAGATTAATTTCTTGTTTCATTTCTTATCTTATTTTGCCATTGAATCTACTCTTGTCTTTTTTTAACACAAAAGATATTATTTCATATATTATGTATTTTCATTTTAAATTTTAAAATAAAACAATGTGTAAATGAAAATTTATATTTTATCGGGTCAGGGGCAAATTCGAAAAAATAAAACTAGAACGCATTAACATGAAAAAGCGGTTCTTCTTAATAATCTTCCAATTCTTCATCCTCAGGCATCTCGTTCAAATCAAAAGGATGAATTTTCTTATTTGAATCTATTGTGTCTTCTTCAAGAATTTTGTTTGGTTCTTCTACTTCGATTTGATTTTGCTCATCCTCGCCATTATTGCATTCTTCCTCTTCTTGATTAAAAAGAGTTCCTTCCTCCTCGCAGACAATTGATAATTTAACTAAATTAGAAAAATCACCAGTCTGTGAATTAACAAATGAAGTTCCTTCATTATCAGCAGATTGAACGTTTTTCTTATTTTGTCGGTATTTTCGCTGGTATTCTTTCAACTTATCTCTATTATTTTGGTTATACATTTTCTTGTTTTTCTGTATCCTTTCTTTATTCCTTTTATAGTAATTTCGTTGATTCTCATTTACCTTTTCTCTATTTTGTTTTTTGTAATTTTGCTTATGTTTAAGCAGTCTTTCTTTATTTTTTTGATAATATTCTTTAAAATATTCACTTCTGGTAGCCTTTTTGTCTCCTCCATTATCAGTGTTATTTTTTGTATTTTTTGATTTTGGGTTTAACGTTTCTTTATGTTTTTGAATTTGAGGATTGACAGACGATCCAGCCCCATCATTTAATAATTTAGTTGCCGTGTAATCCTTTTCAACATCTCTTGCCGAAACTTTTCGAATTGGAGTTGTTTTAATAGATGACCAAAAAATCAGAATGAAGATTGAAACGATTAAAATACAAGCAAGTTTCATGCTAAACAAATTTTAAAATTTAAATAAAAATTAAAGAAAAATGATAAAATTTAATTAAAAATTGCATTTAAATAAACGAAAAATTGTGTGTATGCATAAAAGGGCAGGCAATAAATTTAGAGAGTCTAAATATTAGGCAATCAAAATACAAAATTCAAAGTGCATCTACACACACGTTTTTACATTTCTTAATAAAAAAATAAAATGTATTGAACGGATGCTGTGTCGAAATAATGTGTCGAAAACCAGAAAAAAGGACTTGCATAATCAGAAGTAAACAACCAACCCAAATAACCAAACCCAAAAGTATTTTGTCAACGTTTTTTATATTTTTGAATTTGAGGATTGACTGACGATTCAGCCCCGTCTTTTAATATTTTTAAAAATTTCATTAAATATTTTCAGCGTAATCCTTTTCAGAATGTTTAGCTAAGCTTCTTAGTTGGAGTAGTTAAATGATGCATAAATGATGCAAGTATATCGCATGGCTGAAGTCTCATAGAACAATTTCACAAATGTACTAGAGCGTCGAACTATCTGACGGACAGATTAGTAAATTTCACAACTATCTTTACGTTTTTAAATATCAAAAACAAATAAAATTCATTGAAAGAAAAGTGCAATCTCGAAATAAAACTGCAAAAAATTTTGAATAAATTTGTGAGAAAGAAAAATTAATAATAAAGATTTGATGAAAGCCATATCTCGGACAAAAATCTATGTTAAGAATATCGATATTTATGAAAGAGAGATTTTCGGAATCTCTGCATATGACTTTATCTGCTTAATTTTTGTTTCAGTCCTAGGCTAAAAATCTGGATAACTAAAAAATTCAAAATTTGCAAATTGTCAGGGTAAATTGTTGAAATAACTTACTAAAATTCGAAATTTTTTTCTGTAGGAAAAATTATTTATATTTAGGATTAAGACCCAGTGGGCGTATGCTTAAGCTTACGACGCTTTAAGTTTAAACCTAAAAGTCCTGGACGCTAAAAAAGCATAAAAATCTTAGATTTTTTGCTTTTTCTCCAGTACGAGTAAGTAAATGTATGCGCCAAAAATAATCCGTACAAAGTATCCACACTCTACGGTAATTTTCCTCGGGTAATTAACTGAAAGGTTGACAGTTTAGCGCAGAGAAAACATAAAAGAGGTTTATTTACAAATAAATAAAAATCTAAAGCATATAAATCTGTGATAATGTTCTTAAATATATTTCAAGTAAATCAGGTGATAAAACATTTGATTGGGTTATCATGTAAAAATAGTAACATTTAAAAGCCATGTATTTTGTTAATTCATTTTCTGTGAAATGTCTCGTCTGTCTATTCATCTAAAACGCAATCTATTCCAAAAGGCTTCAATTTATCGGGTATTTGCACCGGTCTTTGGGTCAATTAAAAATTCTTGATGGTGACTGTTTTATGCTTATATGCTTTTTGTTCAAATAAGCTGTCGGTCGCCAATCATCAGAATAGATGAGTGTTCAAATGTCAATTCCCGAATAAGGCGGGAAATTTTTACACCCTAAGAATGTTAACTTTTTCTGAGCGATGGTTGATTGGTTAGGTCGAATAAAAAGGGAAGCAAATATAAATTCATTATCAGCCATAAACTTCATTATCAGGCATCTCGTTCAACCAAAAAGGTCTAAATAATACAGATAAAAAGGAAAAAACAGAAAAAAGCGATCCTTCTTAATATCTTCTTATTCTTCATTATCAGGCATCTCGTTCAAATCAAAAGGAAGCATTTTCTTATATAAATCTATTGTGGCATCTTCAAGGATTTTATTTGGCTCTTCTACCTCGAGTTGATCTTCCTTTCCTTAATTAAAAAGATATCCTTCCTCCTCGCAAAAAATTGGTAATTTACCTTCATTAGTAAAATTAGCAGTCTGTGGATTAACAAATGAAGTTCCTTCATTATTATTAGATTCAGCGTTTTTCTTTTTCAGTCGGTATTTTCGTTTGTATTCATTACACTTTTCTTTATTCTTTTTATAGTAATTTTGCTGATACACTTTTAGCTTTTCTTTGTTTAGTTTTTGATAATTTTGAAAGTATTCTTTATTATTTTGGTAATACTCTTTATCATATTCACTTTTGTTAAAAACTTTGTCCCCTCCATTATCCCTGTATTTGTCATTTTTTGTCAATGTTTCTTTATCTTTTTGAGTTTGAGGAATGACCGACGATTCAGCCTCATCATTTAATATTTTAGATGCCGAGTAATCGTTTTCAGCACGTATTGCCAAACCTTTTCGAATTGGAGTTGTTTTAATACTTGACCATAAAATCAAATTGAAGATTGAAACGATTAAAATACAAGCAAGTTTCATGCTAAACAAATTTTAAAATTTAAATAAAAATTAAAGAAAAATGATAAAATTTAATTAAAAATTGCATTTAAATAAACGAAAAATTGTGTGTATGCATAAAAGGGCAGGCAATAAATTTAGGGAGTCTAAATATTAGGCAATCAAAATACAAAATTTAAAGTGCATTTACACACACGTTGTTACATTTCTTAATAAAAAAAATAAATAAAATTCATTGACAGGATGCTGTGTCGAAATAAAGTGCCGTCAAAAAATGCTTGAATAACCAAAACCAAAAAGTTTTTTTGTCAACGTTCCTAAATATTTTTGAGTTTGAGGATTGCCGACGATTCAGCCCAGTCTTTTACTTATAATATTTCAATTGTCGTGTAATCCTTTTAAACATTTATAGGTATTGGAGTAGTTAAATGCTGCAAATAGAATCGAATTGGCGATTACTAGTGTGTCGAACTATCTGACAGACAGATTACTAAATTTCACAACCATATGTATTTATGTTTTTAAATATCAAAAACAAATAAAATTCATTGAAAGAAAAGTGCAATGTCGAAATAAAACAACAAAAAAATTTATTGAATAAATTATTGTGAGAAATAAAAATTAATAAGAAATATGACAGGGACAATATCTCGTGAAAAAATATGAGAGACAGATTTTCGAAATCTTGCTTTTCATCAGCCCACCCTTTTCCTTTCTCTAGTTCTTAGGGTGTCGGCTTAATTTTTGATTCAGTACTAGGCCAAAAATCTGGATATCATAAAATAAAAAATTTACACATTGTTAGGGTAAATTGAAGAAATAAATAAATAATTTCTAAAAATACCTAATATTCCCTCAAATCCCCGTATAACTCCTTAATAGCCAGATATCAAGTAGTGTCCCTTAATTTCCCAATATCTCCCCTAACCCTCAAATTGTAAAAGTAAAATCCTTATTAATTTTATAAGATTGACTAACGAACATATTGATCTTCAATTCAAGCACCATAATTTGCCACGTTAAAATTTTATACACTACCTTAATTTTGGAAATAAAAATTTTATTTCCGATTTCAAAATTATTACGAAAACAATTTTTGATTTCCGATTCCCATCCTTACAGCCATTACAAATTACCGTCGGTTCCTATTTCCGACACCTTCGGCATATACGACCTACCGCTGATTTTTAGTACAAAATATATTAATTAGTTTATATTATGTATTTTTTTATTTTTGAATTTTTTTAAATTAATTAGATTATATTATGTACATATTATAATTTTTTATTTTTGAAACAAAACAATACGACAAATAAAAATGTATGTATTTCACCGGTTATTTAATGAGTAATCTAATTTTATCCTTTTAAAAATTTTTTCCATTATTTTAAATACATTGGGGTCTAGAGCAACATCTGAAAATTTTTTGAAAATATTTTTTAGATATCCAAACTTACACTTTATGCCGGTAGCTCTCACTCCACACACAATAAGGAAAATCGACAAATGTACAGCTGTTGATAGCCGTGCATTGTAAAGGCAAATTGGTATAGCCGGGGTACATTTTTGCTTGACCTTTAAATTGGGAATTACGTCTAGTATTGTTATAGTAAGCCGAGAAAAGGACAGGGCCTGAATAGGACAATAGATGAGAGCATACCCGTTGCTACTTTGGATAATAACCGGGTTAGTCCACGACCCGACGGGGATAAAATTTTTGGGGAAAGGAGCGCCGAGACGTGGACTGTTGGGCCAATAAATCATCCCGGGCGAGATGCTTGTCCGAGACCTCCCTAGTTGATACATTCATCCAGATTGAGGGATTAAAGATTGTGCCTAGACAACTGGTATCTCATCTCAGGGTACTTTATACCCCTAGGTTATTATTAATTCATATCTTCACTAAACTCACCATAAATAGGATTTTCTGGACTTATTCCACAACAAATATACTGTCCTCCCTTGTAGAGGTTATTATACTCGCAGTGATAGCCTGGGGAACATTTCTTGTAAACACAATCTATTGGGATGCCTCCACTCACTTCTACATCTGCGCTTGGATTCCGACACTTTGCTATAATTAAAATTCGACATTACGACATTTTTTGAGTAAAAAACAAACGAAAAGAGAGCTGAGCTCCTCTCGGGTCCCAAACAAATGGATAACCAGCTCCAACATTTGTCCCTATAAAATAACAAGCAAAATTCCTGCAAATCAAAGGGTGGTCGCCGGGGCGAGTCCTACACTGCAAATCATACATACATCGTTCTCCGACTCCTACAAGTGGCAAACACTGGCCATTAAGCATTATATGGTTTGGAGGGCACAGAACTGTAGAAAAATAATTTTAGAAGTTTTTATCAATATATCGTATGGCAATTCACTCAAACTTACCACCCATTTTCCCTCTGGGGAATTAATATTTCAACGCATCCGTGGGATGAGGATCTACTCGTGTTTTAAAATTTAAACATGCAGTAGAGCATTTGGAGGATAGAAATTATTGTTTCAACACATCCCCTAATTTTTAAGAGGCTGGGATCGAGATAATACCCTATATGGATATTCCAAAATTGCTTATCATTGATTTCGAAGCTTTTTCATAGCACCTAAAGGAAATATAGAGGGAAGTGTTTACAGTGAGAATTTTTTTCGTTTTGCATAATATTTAAGAATTGAATTATACTTTTATTTATAATAAAATACCTATACGCAAAACTACTAGAGATCATGAAATTAAATATATATTTTTGAAATGGGGATTAGCTAATCCTCATAAATTCTAACGAATTTAAGCTAAAATTATTGTAGTTTTCTTAGTGGGTGTTTCTATTCAAAATGTTTTAGTGGTAATATTTAAAATCTGTCGATAAACTGTAATCATAACGAGGTCCGTGACAATGCTTTGTTAAATAAAATGAGTTAGTGAGATAATTTCATTTTGTCTTTCTTCATATGTAACTTCTCTAAATCAATTAATAAAAATACATAATTACCATTTGGAATATTCGGATCATTGATACACTGCTTTCCGTTGTATAACTGTCCCGGCGGACAAACACAACGCTTTTGGAAGCAAATACTTCCAAGATAATTGCACTGTTTGCCTTTATAGTTAAATTTAAAATTTAAAAAATTATCTAAATAAACTGTATTCGCAGAACCCTCCATATGCTACATAATTGTAACAATGCCCATTAATTGAAACCTGACCCATCGCACACCCAGCATTTGGACGTGGATCATCTGGCAAATTTGAAAATAAGGGTACATAAGACTAGAATTATATTTTTATTAATGGTAAATTTATTTGTATTTCAAAAAAATTTTTTTGAAAAGTTAAATCGAGATGTGTCAAAATCCTAAATTATAATTAGGAGGGGGGTATGAATAGTCTACATCTCAAAAATTACAGAATACAATTGCAAAACCAAATGTGATTCTAAAAATCTGCGTTTATAAAATTTGTTAATAAATTTTTTCAAAACATAAATTTAAAATTTGGGCGCTGGTCTAGTTTATGCGTCCAATGAACTTTTATGCGTCCAATGAAACTTTATTAGTTCAATCAAAAAATAATCGGATTTTTCTTAGTATTGCAAGGTGGTTCCAAAGCATTTCTTCATGTTCGGTACGTACGCCCACTGGGTCTGGGACCATTCCTTGCCCTATCCCTCGAAATTTCGGTAAGTTATAGCCAATTTTTAAAAATTTCGAAAAAACAATTATAACTTTCCGAAATTTCGAGGGATAGGGCAAGGAACGGTCCCAAACCCAGTGGGCGTAGGTTAAAACATGAAAAAATGCTTTGGAACCATACCCCAACTTTGCAATGCTAAAAAAATCCAATTTTTTTTGATTGGACTCATAAACTTTTAATTGGACTCATAAAAGTTCATTGGACGCATAAACTAGACCAACGCCAAAATTTGTTAATCCTCTATCATAATTAATAATCGTTTAAAACACACTTATTTACAGGGGCCGTGCACAGCCCCCTTCCCAAAAATTCCCCGATGTCTTAAATCCATATTGGGTGCCCCAGAATTTATTTTATAAAATAATAAATTAAATAAAATATATTGAGTAAAATATTTAAGGTTGTTTCCCAATTTGCAAACAAAAACAAATAAAACTTACACACTCCTTGTGGAAGACAGTCCTCTCCATTATAATTAAATCCTATACGACAGTAACACAAATCTTTGCGACACTCAGAGTTGGTAAATTTACATTGGGAGTTTTGTGTGCATGCAGAGCCATAGCCGGATGGAGAAGCTTTAAATGAGATTAATTTTAGATTATTTTTTAAATTTTATCAATAAATAAATTCCTCTATAAAGTATGGTATAACCGAATTTTGTAAAAAGCAGAAAAGACGGAAGAAAACTTGGAAAAGCAAAAAAACGACCGAAATCAGCTGGGACGGAAGAGATCCGATCCTTTCTTCATAGTTTTGTAAGTGTAATGGAGGAAAGGCAACGAAGAGAAAATTTTTCTAGTAAATATTGGGAAAATATGTATGGTCTAACCAAATTTTCAATCCACCCGGACTTTAAAATCAGAACTTTTAAAACCCAAGACTCAGTATTTACAGGGGCTACTTATAACCCCCTTCCCAAAAATTTCACTATGCCGATATACCTCTAATTTATGAAAATTTATTTAATTATAGTTAAGTATAATTAATATAAATTATATTAAGTAAAACAGATATATTATAAAAAAATATATTAGGTATAAAAAATATAAAATATATTAAAAGATATTATATTAGGAAATTTCATCAGATGGCTTGTTGGTTTCATCAGATTCTTCAGTTAACGAAAACGAACCAACAAACAGAACCGAAAACCTATTCTTGAGTCTGTTTGAAAAGTCTCTTGCTTTTAAAATTCTTGATTTTAAAGAGTTTAAAATTTCGATATTTTTGAAATTTTTCTGATTTCCGATATTCGGAAAAAATATTTACAACGAAACAGCCCTTATATACATGTATTTTTCGAGATTTCTAATGCGTATCCTTTAAGAATCCCAAAAATTTTTTTAAAAATTACTAACGATTTTTTGCAGCGCAACAATGCCCTTGAAAACAGAAAAAGCCGGGTGCCAACTCCTGACAATTCTGGTCCATTGTACACCCCACCCCGTTAAACAAAGAAATTTGGTTTGGACCGCATTGGGAATTTGTTGAAGCTAAGCCGATAACGAGTTGAGCAAATAAATTTGAAATTTTAAATGATAGAAGATAAGAAAATAAAAATGTAAGAGAATTTAATAATGGCGACATTTCTGAATCAAAATTAATAAAATTTACTTAGTAAGTTAACAAAATTTGAAAGATACAAGTCCGGTGGTAATTAAAAATAATCAAATTCGCAAGGGCGTGCACATCCCCCTTCCCAAAAGTTCGCTATTAAAATATCGCCACGACTATGTTGCGGTGCATTTTTAAAATTTATAGTTATCAAAATATAAATGTATTTATTTATATTAAGTAAAGATATAAAAAAGGATACTATCAACTTACCTAAATAGCTTATAATTAATTAAATTATTCGCGATTAAATTAATTCTATTCAAGTTTGGACCCGAACATGAATTTTTTTTGTTTGTTTTTGTTTTGAATTTTGAATTTTTTGAATTTTTTGAAAAAAAAAAAAATTTTTGAAAAAAAAAATTCAAAAAAAAAATTTTGAATTCTGTTCCCAAACGATTTTTTGCACAATTATCCCCTACCCATACCTCAGTTCGAAACAATTTAGAGCATTCTAGTTCTCAAGCATTTTGGATACAAACCAGTGATGCACGGGTTAAGAAAAAAGTCATCAAAAAATATTCCGAGTTTCGCTATCGGGTCGTCGGGTTAAAAAAATTTTTAATTCAACAGGCGAAAATTTTCATATACGTATCATTAGGGAACGGATTTATATGGACTATTAATAGAAAAATATGGACATATACTCATTATCGGCCTTATCAACATATGCTAAAACTATGTTTTTCATGCGTTTCACGATCCAACTAGTTCAGGAAAAAATATGGAAATCCATATAAATCCGTTCCCTACGTATCATCATTCTTTAATTTCAGCGTCGCAAGCTAAAACTTGGAAAATCGAAACTATTTACTTAAAGAGCTAATAAAATAACAATTAAAACAGAAAACAAATCAAAAAATATTTTTAAATTTGGAACTTTGATTAATCAAAAATTTAATAAAAAATTTCATTAAACTAATTTTTTTGTTGACGCGCAGACTTTTTAACGATTATCACTCGTCATTCAATGCGCAATACTTTCCCTTTTCTTTATTTTTCAAGAAGAGAAGAAGAAAGGAGATCAGCAGCAAGCATATTAATTGTTTACTCAAATCATAAGTATGAAATCCTACTCTTTCTTTATTTTTGTTTTTTATTTTTTTGTTTTTATTTCAGGAAAATTCAATAAATAGTAAACAAAAAATTTCAAAAAAAAATATTTTCAAATTTTAAGTTCAATATTTAATTGAAAAATTTTTTTCTAAATTAGCAACAATGGGACGGATGAAAATAAAAAGTTTGGCTCGGTTTCGTGTCGGAGTGTTCCTAATCTACCTCACGTATGTCTTTGAGGCATGATTATTTTTCTCAAATTCATAGCTATATGAACGTCAAAAAAAGATTAAATATGGAGTTTGGTCTATAGAAATTAAACAACTAAATTCTCTCATTTCTTTATATTTTTACTTAATATATTATAATTGAGTTAATTTTTTATTTAAATAAAAAATAGAATGGTAATCTGATTAAACTGATTAGATGAAAATTTTTGGAGATGGGGGTTATGGCCAAACCCCCTTTAAAACACTGTCACAGTCTTGTAACTTTACACTTAAGATAAGTGTAAAAGTAATTTTACAAAAAATTTCTATGAATATGTAATAATCAGACTAAGACATGGATAAGGATATGGATACAGATATTATAAAAATGCCTGCGAATATTCGTCTGTATCCGCCGTAAATATCCGGATACGGATTCCAAAATCATTATCCGTGTCATAGTCTGGAGTAATTACAAATTTATTTTTTCACTATAAAATAAATCATTGTTCGAATTTTGGATAGCTTTATTCAAATATTTTAAAATTTTTTAAAATTAATTATTTAAATCTTCAATTAACTTCAATCTTCTTCAATCAGTCTTCAAAGTTGGTCAATACCTTATAACCAAAAACAATTCAAAACCCATGCCAATACTTTTTTTTTCAAAGATTCAGCTTTACTTTGAGTCATGCGTCCCATGTAATTTTATGTGTCCCAATGTGCTTTTAAGCGTCCCATCGAGCATATTCAAGCCAGATTGAGCGGATACACGTCTTCAATTAAATTACATAGCTCTAGCATTATAGCACTTTTATACATTTATTGCAAAACAAAATTTACTCAATATATTATATTCCTCTCATAATTTCATTTAAATAAATTTATTTTAAATTTTATAATTTTTCTTTAATTTTTTAATAAATCCTTAAATTTGTTTAGGATGAAGCTTGCTAGTTTTTTAATCGTTTTAATCCTCAATTGGATATTATGGACATTTGTTAAAACTATTCCAATTCGAAAAAGTTTAGCTAAACAAGTTGAAAAGGATTATACGGCAAAGAATCTGACTAAAATATTAAATGAAGAGGCTGAATCGTCGATCAACCCTCAAATTCAAAAATCTGAAGAAAATTTAACAAAAAAGGACACAGATGGAGAGAAAAAAGTGTTTAACAAAAGTGAATATCATCAAGAATATTATCAAAAAAATAAAGAAAAGTTTCGTGAAAATAGTCGAAATTACTATGAAAAGAATAAAGAAAAGGTGCTTGAACGTAGACGAAATTACCGAGAAAATAATAAAGAAAAGATAAATGAATATAATCGAAATTACGTTAAAATTCATAAAAATAAGCAGAAAAAAGATGGGAAAATTTACTACCAAAAAAATAGGGAGACGATACTGGAAAAACAAAAAATATATAAACAAAATAAAAAAGAAAAGCTGAATGAATACAACCGAAATTATTACCGGAAAAAGAAAAACGTTCAATTTGACAATAACGAAGGAACTTCATTTGTTAATCAACAGACTGGTAATTTTATTAATAAAGGTAAATTACCAATTGTTTGCGAGGAGAGTTCTGAGGAAGAAAATTCTAATCAAGTGGAGGACGAATGCAATAATGGAAATGGAGAGCAAAATCAAATAGAGGCAGAAGAGCCAAAGAGTAGAATTATTGATGACGACACAAGTAATGTAGATGCGAACAAGAAAATTCATTCTTTTGATCTAAACCAGATACATGAGCAAAATCAAATCGAAGTAGAAGAGACGAATAATATTCTTGATAATGACACAATAGATTTAAATAAGAAAATTCATCCGTTTGATTTGAACGAGAGACCTGAGGATGAATAATGAGAAGATTAAGAGAACGATATTGGATTTTTTGATTTTTAAATTTCGATATGGATTTCTCAAGATTTTTCGTTATCTTGAAAAAATTGTTAGATTTTTAAAGATTTTTTGTCATTAGATTTCTGACCTAGGGCCGAATCAAAAAATTAGCCGACACGTATGTACCTACAAACTAGAGATCGGAAATTTCGAAAAGCCTGGACCTGTTTCCTAGACTCTGGGTACAGGAAAAAAAACACAGGCCTTGGTCCAGACCCGGGACGATCTCTACTACAAACTAAAAAAAGAAAAAGAGAGGGTTGATGAGAAGCAAGATTTCGCAAATCTCTCTCTCACAAATATCGATCTTGATAACATAGATTTTTGTCCGAGATATTGCTTTCGTCAAATCTCTATTTTTAATTTTTCTTTCTCACAAAAATTTATTTAAAAAAATTTTTGTTGTTTTGTTTCGACATTGCACTTTTATTTCAATGAATTTTATTTATTTTGTGAAGATGGCTGTGAGATTTTGTAATTTGTCTGTCAGATATTTCGACGTTCTAACAATCACCATTGCGATACTATGAACTTAACTATTCCCTAAAAAAGCTTAGCTAAACATGCTGAAAAGGACTACACTGGAACTGAAATATTAAATCGTGGGGCTGAATCGTCGGTCTGATTTTAGGATTTTAATGAAAAATATGCAAAACGAAAAAATAATATTGTCAAATATTTTCTCTGAAAAAAAAGTTTTGTAAGTTAAAATGTAAATCAATAGGGAAATGGAAATTTATCAGAAGAAAATTAAATATACTCCAGTTTGGGACTAAATTATAAAATATTTTTGTACTTAATTAAATAAATTATTTAATTTTAAAATATCATAATTTTAAAAATTAAAAAATTAAATAATAAAAAATTCAAAATGGAGAAATATTCTTAATGATCTTCCAATTCTTCATCATCGGGCATCTCGTTAAGATCAAAAGAACACATTTTCTTGTTTAATTCTTTATTATTTGTGTGATCATCAGGAATTTTATTTGGCTCTTCTACCTCGATTTGATTTTGATTATTCTCGCCATTATTGCATTCTTCCTTTTCTTGATTAAAAACACCTTCTTCCTCCTCACAAACAATTGGTAATTTATCTTTATTAATAAAATCACTAGTCTGTGGAGTAACAAATGAAGTTCCTTCATTATTAACAGATTGAATGTTTTTCTTTTTCAGACGGTATTTTCTCATGTATTCATTCTCCTTTTCTTTATTATTTTGATAATAAATTTTTCTTTGATTTTTTAACTTTTCCTTATTTTTTTGGTAGTAAACTCGCTTAGAATGATTATTTTTTTCTTTATTCTTTATATTGTAGTTTCTCTTTTGCTCACTTATCTTTTCTTTATTTTGTTTTCGATAATTTCGACTTTTTTCAATCAATTTTTCTTTATTTTTCTGATAATATTCTTTAACATATTCACTTTTGTTAAGCACTTTGCCTTCTTTGTCGTTATACTTTTTAGTTATTTTTAACTTTGGTTTTAACGTTTCTTTATGTTTTTGAATTTGAGGATTGACCGACGATTCAGCCCCATCGTTAAATGTTTCAGTTGACTGGTAATCCTTTTCAACTTGTCTTGCTAAATTTTTTCGAATTGGAGCAGTTTTGACAAATGCCCATAATATCGAACAGATTAAAACGATTAAAAAGCTAGTAAATTTCATCTTATACAAGTTTTAAAATTTATTTAAAAATTAACGGAAAATAATAAAATTAATTTAAAAAATAAATTTATAAAATGAAAATGCTGAGGAAAATAAGGGCATTATGTAACTTATATTTTGTAATAGATGTATGTATTGATATAGCCGATTTATGAAAGTGCAATAAAGCAGGCAGACAATTTACGAAAGGGTAATTTCACAAACTTATACTTTTTAAGTAGGAAAAACAAGTAAAATTCATTGAAAAGAAAGTGCATAATAATAAAAACAAATTACTTAATAATTATTCAAAAATCATGACCCCTCAAATTTTTTATATTAAAAATTCTGGATTTGGAATTTTAAGTTAACTTTGTTCATTTATTTCTATTACAAATGTAATTTTTTATTCCAAAATAATTTTACAAATGGAGACCCAAGTGAACACAGCAATTTTATGGCGCACTAATAGGTTGACACTTTATTGACAATGGAGGAAAAACCTCATTTATTCCAGCAAAATTTTATTTTTTTCATTTTCCTTCTTAAAAAGAAAAACGTTCAATCTGAAAATAATGAAGGAACTTCTTTTGTTCATCCACAGACTGGTAATTTTACTAATAAAGGTAAATTACCAATTGTATGCGAGGAGGAAGGGAATTCTAGTCAAGGGGAGGACGAATGCAATAATTGTGAGGAAGAGCAAAATCAAATAGAGGCAGAAGAGCCAAAGAGTAGAATTATTGAAGACGACACAAGTAATGTAGATGCGAACAAGAAAATTCATTCTTTTGATCTGAACCAGAAACATGAGCAAAATCAAATCGAGGAAGAAGAGCCAAATTATATTTTTGATAATGACACAATAGATTTAAATAAGAAAATTCATTCTTTTGATCTGAACGAGAATCCCGAGTACGAAGAATGAGAAGATTAAGAGAACGATGTTGGATTTTTTGATTTTTGAATTTCGATACATGATTTTTTTGTTATCTTGAAAAAATTGTTAGATTAAAAAATTTTTTTGTTATTCAGGTATTTGACATGGGACCGAATCAAAAAATTAGCTAAAGTGCCTACCCAGGCCTCGGTTCATCCCGGGAATATTAAATCAACTGAAATATTAAATCATGGCTGAATCGTCGGTCAATCCTCAAATTCAAAATATAAAGAAACGTTGAAAAAAACTTTTTGGTTTTGGTTATTTAGGTTGGACGTTCACTTTTGGTTATTCAAGTCTTTTTCTGTTTTTTCGACACAGTATCCTGTCAATGAATTTTATTTGTTTTTTTTTATTTATTTATATATTTGGAATTAATTTGTACTAATTACACTATTTGGATCATTAGAATTTTATGTTTATTGTCGATAAGTTGTTATACTGGATTTTGAAAGGAAACATAGTTGGTCTTAGTAGTCATTTTTGCACAATAGGAGAAATATATGGCACCCAAGGAGTCGCGTTTGTCTACGTTATGCATCTGATTTTAAGGAAAAATATGCAAAACGCAAAAAATAATATTGTCAAATATTTTCTCTGAAAAAAAATTTTGTAAGATAAAATGTAAATTAACAGGGAAATGGAAATTTATCATAAGAAAATTAAATATACTCCACTTTGGGAGTAAATTATAAAATATTTTTGTATTTAACTAAATAAATTATTTAATTTTAAAATACATATATAATTTTAAAAATTAAATAATTAAATAAAAAAAATCAAAATGGGGGACTGTTCTTAATGATCTTCCAATTCTTCATCATCGGGCATCTCGTTCAGATCAAAAGAACAAATTTTCTTGTTTAATTCTTTATTATTTATGTCATCTTCGAGAATTTTATTTGTCTCTTCTACCTCGATTTGATTTTGTCCTTGATTATCGTTATTGCATTCTTCCTCTTCTTGATTAATAAGATTCCCTTCATACTCGCAAACAATTGGTAATTTACCTTTATTAATAAAATCACCTGTCTGTGGATTAACAGATGAAGTTCCTTCATTATTATCATATTGAATGTTTTTCTTTTTTAATCTGTATTTTCGGTTGTATTCATTCTCCTTTTCTTTATTATTTTGGTAATAAATTTTTCTTCGATTCTTAAACTTTTCCTTATTTTTTTGGTAGTAAACTCGCTTAGAATGATTATTTTTTTCTTTATTCTTTATATTGTAGTTTCGCTTTTGCTCCTTTATCTTTTCTTTATTTTGTTTTCGATAATTTCGACTTTTTTCAATCAATTTTTCTTTATTTTTTTGATAATATTCTTTAACATATTCACTTTTGTTAAGCACTTTGCCTCCTTTGTCGTTATACTTTTTAGTTATTTTTAACTTTGGTTTTAACGTTTCTTTATGTTTTTGAATTTGAGGATTGACCGACGATTCAGCCGCATCATTTAATATTTTATCAGTTGACTGGTAATCCTTTTCAACTTGTCTGGCTAAATTTTTTCGAATTGGAGCAGTTTTGATAAATGCCCATATTACCCAATTGAAGATTAAAACGATTAAAAAGCTAGTAAATTTCATCCTAAACAAATTTTAAAATTTACTTGAAATGAAAGAAAAAAATAAAATTTAATTTAAAAATTAATATATAAAATGAAAAATTGTAAGGAATATAAGGGCATTATGTAAATTATATTTTGTAATAGATGTATTTATTGATAGTATAGCCGATTTATGAAAGTGCAATAAAGCAGGCAGACAATTTACGAAAGGGTAATTTCACAAACTTATACTTTTTAAGTAGGAAAAACAAGTAAAATTCATTGAAAAGAAAGTGCATAATAATAAAAACAAATTACTTAATAATTATTCAAAAACTCAAGACCCCTCAAATTTTTTATAATAAAAAATTCTGGATTTGGAATTTTAAGTTAATTTTGTTCATTTATTTCTATTTCAAATGTAATTTTTATTCCAAAATAAAATTTTACCAATGGAGACACAAGTGAACACAGCAATTTTAGGGCGTACTAATAGGTTGATACTATTGACAATGGAGGAAAAGCCACATTTTTTCCAGCAAAATTCTATTTTTTTCATATTTCCTTCTTTATTTCCAATAATACGTTTTTGATTACCATTTTTACATTTTAGAAGATAATATATATTTAAAACTTCAAAATCGAATTTCACGATTTATATTTTACAATATTTATAATAGATTTAGTTTTAGATTTTTAAAATAACTGCATCACTAAGATGATTAGAAAAAATAAGATTACATATTAATAATATAAATTCATCTTTTAAATTATTGTTTCCTTCTCCCTCAATTAAAAATTTTAAAACGTTATCAGAAAAT